AAAGATAAGACTTTAAAAATTGGACACGAGAGGGAACTAGAAGGAACTAAGATTACAGCTAAAGAAGAACACTCAAACTTGACTTACAAATACAGAATGAAGGAAAATACTTTAACATTGGACATATTGAAGGCTATTTTTGAACAATGGGTCCAGAAGTTAATTTTAAGAGTGGCTGCCTCTATGTTTAAAAGATGTTATGGAAGAGGAACAAGTTTTACTGGACAAGATTGAGACTGATCTGAAAGTGAATTTAAAAATGAGAAGCTCCAAGAATGATATGGAAAAAGATCCTACGCTGGACATACAAAAGAAACCAGTTGATGTTTTAATAATTAAAAGGAATATTCAAATAACAAACCAAGAGATTGACCTCATTAATTTTCTGATATTGGATTTACAAAAGATGCTTTTACAACTTTGAAGAATTTTGTGAGAAGGGACCAAGAAGAAATGAAAAGAAATCAAGTAGGACATTATTTGAAGGGACTAAATATCAAGATTGTTAAAAGTAAAAGGAAGGAATATAAAGTTGGTTTATTTGATTAACATTAAAATAGATATGTTTTTATCTCTGGTAACCCTTAATGGACTTTTGCTGGCATCAGGACTGAAATGACAAGGTTTTATGGATTTGTATATAAATAAGAGATGGGATATGGGAAACAGAGTTCATTTGTTGTATTTTAAGAGAAGGTAACAAGTTACTAAAATTATTTATACTTGTTGTGATGAATGGGGAAGTTCTTTTTTCTTTACTATATTCTCATTTTTTTTCTTTCTTTTCTATTTTTTGTTCTATTTTTTCTTTTTTGTACCTTCTATTTTTTATTTTATTTTTTTTTTTAGTCGGTATTAGTTTTTATTGTTGTAATTGTAATCTTTAATAAAATTAGTATTTAAAAAAGGAAACAGATTAGACTAGCTGACTAGGCCATGCATGCTATAGTACATGGCCATTATTAAATGTGTAGATATTCAAATATATTTCTCTTACTTTGAATGTTTGCTCAAACTCCTTAGTCAACATAGGATGTTGAGAGAAAACGGTATCACAATGTATTCAACTGTGTTAGCATGTCTTGGAAAAAAACAGATGTACTTTTCCACTGATTGTTAAAGGTTGACACTCCATCAATTTTGCCTCACAATACAGGATTCCCTCCCCCCTCATTTCTCTAAATCAGCTAGAACTAACATTCCTGAAACAATACTTTTGGTAGGCGTGTTGTGGTCATTTTTCAATCACGCATTACATGATAACAGCTGATGCATTAGAACAGAAATATTTATGGATGAACTGGACCAGGCAGTTTCCCAAGTCATTCTAACTGCACATAATTATATTTTTCCTTCTTTCTTTCCTAGCCTGAAGGCAGCCATGTCCCAATAAGCTGAAAACTATAATAACTGAATCTTCCCCCTCCTCTTAAAGGGGCTCCATTATGTGGAGAAGTGATGCATGAGTCAATAGTATCTCAACATCCTCCTGGAGGTCACTTCCATGAATACAAGCTATAAAGAAGTAGGTATCTTCTTGCCTCTGGTTAAGGGGATTACTGCCACAAAGGTGGGAAATAGTTAAATTGGTCTATTTGGTGGGTTGAACAGAATCACCCTGTTCCTGACAGGAAGAACTGCTCCAAATTGGGCAGCATCTAAATACATCTAAAATGAGTTTTCTTTGAGGGGACTGAATTATATGCAACACCACAAAAAAAGGGAGGGGCAAAAGGGGAAGAGGAAATGGAAGAACAAGGGAGAAGATTTCCACATGGATCTGGATAGCAACTGACACACCTACCACTTCAAGCCATTTAATACAGAGTGTTAGCATTGCACAGCTACGTCCAGCAGGAATCGACTCAACAACTTTATCCATTTGTCATGTTGTATCCCCAAGCAGCTGCCAGGGGCCCAGCAGGAACCACCACTGATGCTGACCACCTCTGTTTCAATTTTATTTCTTAGTGTTCCATGACTACATAGGGAACCACCACGTCTATTTTTCATGATATAATTTAGCAACACAGTCCTACACTCAATGAAAAAACTGAAGGTGAAAAGAGATAGGACATTTCAGCAAGACAAGGATCCAAAATATACCTCCAAATCAACTATGAAGTATCTATAAGAGAAAAAGATAAAGGTTTTGGAATAGCTTCCATAGTCCCCAGGGTTGAATATTAATGCATATCTGTGGGGAGATCTCCAAAATGTAGCACATGCAAGGAAACTTAAGAATATTTCTGAGCTAGAAGAATTCTGCAAGGAACAGTGGGGAAGAAAATGCGAACAGGAACACTCTTAGCTGGCTACAGGACATATTTTGAAACTGTTATTTCAACCAAAGGTGGTATTACAAAGTCTTGATTGAAGGTATGCCCAAACTTCAGCACCTATCATATTGACTGTTTCCTTATTTTGAATCTGTACACAATTACACCTAAATTATAAATTTGCATTCAAATTTGCACAAAGTTTTTTATACATTTGTACCATGAATAGGCTGCTTCAGTTTATGCTTGCTTAGGGATTCACTGAAACATACAGTCTGACCAAGAGTATCTAAACTTTGGCGGGCCCATTGAAACTGGGCAAATAAAACATCTTTGTTGAAGTGGCTTACTGTAGCTGGCACTGGGGAAAAAAAGTCTCGACAGTGGTAACTGGTAATTCAAACATACAATATCACATTTAAAGTTGAAGTTGCAATTTAGTTTCATTTCCAATAGTGAGATGCCTTAAACTGGCACAGTAGTATTTAGAAGTTGGGTTTATATATCATTCTAAGCCAGGGGTCCCCAAATTCTTCAGCTCATCGACCCCTTCATGAAGTTTCAGGTTGTTCATCAACCTCCAAACATTTATTATATGAAAATAATTTAATAAATACTACTTTAACTAATAGTGCTACGCATAATTGTAACAACGACAACAACATTGACCTCTTGGATAGTCCCACTGACCCTTGGGGGTCAATATTGACCACTTTGGAGAACTCCGCTCTAAGGTATAATATTGTTTGGTTGTAATTAATGCCATGTACAGATCCAGCCACTGTGGTTTATAAAGCATGGTTGGTAGGTAAGTGCGAGGCATGAACCTAGGCAATTGTGGTTTATTCAACAAACTGAGATTAACATAAACCATGGTTAAGAGAAATGTGTGGACTCAAGACACTGAAAGGGAAAGCAAAGAAGGTTAAGTAAATCTGGATCCTTTAAAATTGGTTACCAAGGTTATTTACTTACCATTCTCTCCATCAGACTTCCTTTCGTGGTCGGTATCAGTGAGGGACAAGGCTGAGTTTGCACGGCTTGATAAACAGGAGCTGTGTTCGGATTTCATGCCTGACATCCACATTCTCAAAGCCTGATCTGGCGAGGCACCTCCTTCTGTCTCGGTATCCATATCGGAGCCCATCTCGATTGGATAGCCATGCTGAGAAACGGCATGCAGGTCCCCCTGGTAGCCAGCACACAACAGATGGGGAGAGTCACAGAACTCCAGCTCTGCAACAAATGGAAAACCAGAACATGGTTTTTATACAAAATTGGGCTTCATTAGACACTCCTTCCACTTAGACCAACCGCACAAGCTCTGCAAAATTGGCAAGTAAACATGGACTGTGAATTCCTGCAAGAAAAGAGAATAGTTTGAGCAAAGCTTTTATAATAATCCCCACTGGCTAGTTGCCTCCACTCAGTCTCAAGGTGCAAAGCTGTAACCACCTGGGATTCAGATGTTGCAATTATTCCTGGGACAGAAGATCCAGTAGCTGTAGGACTAGATCTTTCGTATGACATGACTGGTTAATCAGATCTGTGAACCAAGGTCTCCTGGGCCAGCAAGGAGTAATCAATATAATTTCTGCTCTCTGCTGACATCCTAACCATTAACACTCATTAAATCAATGGGATCAGTAGAAGTCCGGGCATCTAATGATATTGGAACCAAAAAAAAAAAAGAGCAAAGGAAGCCAATCTATACCCCTCCACCCAGAGGAAAGAAACATAGTCCTCCTTGCTTGGGGCTTCCTCTCTGTGGGGTTGAATGGTAAGAAACTCCATGAGCTGGTTCCACATTCTAGCCTTAACTACAAGAGACTCAATTTAATAAATCGAGTCTCTTGTAGTTAAGGCTAGAATGTGAAACCAGCTCATGGAGTTTCTAGTGCACAGAGTCCCCATCTAGGCACAAAAGGGAGAAAATCTGCTAGATTATGGTTTGTTCTCTTTGCTGCAAAATTTTTCTGGAGTGCCTTCTTTTTTATCCTTTATATGTGGATGGTTTGTTGGTTTCTCTCTCTTCACTATATTTAGTTTATCTATATTCTGTTTCATCTGATCATTGACGGAAATAAATATTATCCACCCACCCACCCATCCATCCATCCTTTACTGGAAAATCATCTCAGGTATCCCCCCCCAAAATTTCCTCCCATAAAAAGGTCTCTACTTGATCTGGAAGTCATGTTCTGTTTCTTGAGTGATAACAGTCGCCTAGCTAGTACATCTAAGACCATGAGCCAAGCTGAGAATTGAATGATGTCTAAGCTTGTATCTTCCATGAAGATTTGCATTTGCCTGTTGACTGATTTCCATCTGATCTCTTGGGGGTTTGGGGAGGATGAGGTTCAATGGTTGTTTGAATTTAGGACAGATACTGTAGCAAAAACCAAAGAGATGTTGGAAAACCCGATAATTTATATGCAAGCCTTATGAGACTTCCTGAGGTGGATTTCACTCCTTCTGTTATCCAGGTTTGCACAAAGGGGTGTCTTTCTCATGCTTGTTGACAGTTCCTGAAATCAAAACTGCAACAGGAGCACCATTAGGGGGATCTGATAGTCAGAATGTATATTAGCAAAGGATAATCCCCCCAGAGTCGTCCATTCAAATGTTAAAATTCTATTGAAGGTGGCCTTCCGCCCCAAAAAGGCCACAGAGAACACATGGAACCCTCAGCCATCTTAGGGACAAGATAATAGGTCTTGCATACCTTTTTTAAAAGTACAGGAAAACTCGTTTTGAACATAACACTGTATTTGAAATTGAGTTTTGTGCTAAAGATAAACATCTTGCTGCCGAAATGTCTAAACTTTTGTTGAGATTTGAAACAGAAGATGAACAAGTTAAAGACTGTATGATAAAACGGCCTAAACGTTTCGGTTATAATATACAAACGGAGCAATGGGAAAATATGTGGATCAAAGGGCAGAAATTTACATTATGTTATAATCTTAAAGAGAATTTTTATAAAAAGATACATTGATGGTATCTATCACCAGAAAGATTGCCAGAAATGTAGAAAGGGACTTCAAGTATATGTTGGAAATGTGAACAAGAAGGGACTTTTTATCATCTTTCGTGGACATGTAATAAAGCTAAAACATGGACTCCAATACATATATTAATTCAAAATATTTTGAAGATTAATGTACAATCAAAACCAGAGAGATTTCTTTTGGGGCTGATGGATAAACAGCTGGAAAAATCTCATGGACCTTTTGCAGTGAGACTTTTATATGCTCAAAAGTGGAAAGCCTCAATATTACCTACGATGGAAGAATGGATTGTAGAGCTAGCTGAAAAGGCGAAATTGACAGCTTTGATTAGAGAAAAGTCATTGGCTAATTTTAATGCTAATTGGAAGCCCCTTTTGGATTTTTTGTGGGAAACAGAAAAAAATGAAATTATGATATATGGATTTGATGGTTAAAATTAATAGATTATAGAAAAAAATGGATGTTAAGTTGAAATCTTAAGAGTAAGAGTTTAATATATGTTTTACTTATATCTGCTGTAGAAGAAGTTGGAAGTCATTCTTCTTTTGTATTTCTGTTTCTTTCTTTGTCTTTCTTTTTCTGCACTTTTTAATTTTCTCTTT